CAATAGTTACTCCACTATAAACTTGGAATTGAACTCTCGAAATTACAGACATTAATTACTTCTAAAGTGCGAAGTGTCCATTTGATATAGTCATTACATATAGGTCAATCCTCCATAAATAATTCATAATTAGAGTCAGGTAGAATCCGTTAACCTCTCTAATTATATCTGCATCCTTGAGTACCATTGATTCTCAAATGGATAATGATTCATAAAACACATTCATGAATCAGAGCGCTCTTACTAATACAAGTACCGAATCAACACTCAAGAGAATTATTCATCTACTTCTTTCTCAAGAAGTAATGGATTCCATCTCGTATAATAATATTCCCAACTACCTATTTCATTATGTCTCCAAAATACAAGGGATAGGATTCAGGGTCTCAGAATCCGTACCGAGTAAATCAAAAGATATAAATCCATAAATAGGAGTTTGTTAAGAACTCATGATTAAGATCATCTTATATATGACCATCGGTAGACTCAATTAGAATTTCTATGCTTAACGAAAATTATTAGAAATTTATATTGTGTATGTGTCCTTATTCCACATAATTTTATTATGCGAAATACACTCATTTAATATCTCACCATATTAACAGTGCGGATAACACTGTTCCATTCTAAGTGGGAATGACATGTATTAATAATGTTTTAATTAAAGATTCTGAACTTTAATTAAATTCATCATGAACAATATTTTTGATTGTTATCCTTAAATACTATCATCTCATATATAACACTTATATACTATGCTTAAGGTTACATAAACAATCACTGAATTTTCATTTGATATTTATAAAATATTCATAAATATATGCACATAAAATGATGAATAAACTCTTTTATTAATTAAATAATAAATATCCTATTACATCTTATGCTTCTAGGACACTATTCCCAACAGTGTTTGGTTGTGTACATTTGAGTTATGGTTTGAGATAAAAATCTTTTTAAGTTTGTATTTGAGTGAGTCAAAACTTGAATTTATATTTAGATAGTATTTTAATAAAAACTCAATGCTGATGGAAAATTTTAATAGAGCATATGGGTGGAGTTTTATTTGTTTTTTCGTTGTCAGCGCATAAAAAAATCGTCTCAATCAGAATTAAAACGAAAAAGTTATAACATTTTTAAGAATATAAAAAATATTGTTCATTAATTTTAGTTCGAGTTGAAGGAGAAACTTGAACTCAAATTTTAGTTCCAAACTTGAATTCAAACTTAAAAAAACATAAACTTAAATAAAATTATAACTCGAATTATTTTTTTTGAATTTTTAACTCAAGTTTTAGACAGTAGAACAGCCCAAGAACTGCATCCAAGAAACCAGTTAGGGAGTCATATATATATATAGAGAGAGAGAGAGAGAGAGAGAGAGAGAGAGAGAGAGAAAAAAGAAAATAAAAAAAAACAAAAAAAAAAAGATGCAAAATGGTGGAATGGGGTGGCGTGAACGCATTCAAAAGTAGACAAACAGAAACACGGGGGGGGATCATTAAAAGCAGCCCTCACAGTCAGTCATCCACTTGCTCGCCAACTTGCTTTAAAAACCGTCCCATTCAAAATCCCCCAGCAAATCAGGCATTAAAAAAATAAATAAATAAAGAAATTGAAAAAAAAAAAACACAAGCAAAGAAAATTGAAAAGGAAAAGAGAAATTGTGCAACTTGCATTTGCATTTGCCCTTTTCTTTTCGTTATACGACAACAGATAGGAAAAACCTTGGGAAAGATAACAGAAACAAACAATCAACAAGTTGCACATATTTAAATCACTTTTTTATTTTTTGAATATATTTTAACAACTAGATATATAATAGGAGAGATGATGAATCGAACCCATCAGAAAAGGTCAAGTTGCTGGACTCAGCTGTCCATTCCCATCACGTTATTCAGTATTTTTATAACGCAAAGAGAGATGAAAAAAAGAAAAGAAAAGAAGAGAAAAAATAAAGTTCCAAACCCCATGCAATACGGCCAAATTAAAGCTTAATACCTACACATCGAGTACTCGAAAATTTAAAGCTTTATTTATTTATTTATTTATCCTCGAATATTTTTATACTCGTTTGAAAAGTAATAAATAAAAAAAATAATGAATTAAAGTCTCAATTAAATAAAGCCAAATTGAAAACGTATGAAAAGTTGTTTTAATGGATTCTATGGCTGGCGGTACAATATCAAGTACTATATTATCAGTCCCTTCCCTGCAACTTGCAGCACTCTGGGTTACCTACCCCACGTTCTCCTCCAATATTTCCATCTCTATTTTTGTTTTTCCCTTAATGTCCGTGTTCTATAACTATACGAGCACATATACATATACAAAGTACATATGCATGCCAAAGTCTTTAGTTCGGCAGTTGTACGGTATAAAAATGTAAATTTTTCTTATGGATAACACTAGTTTAATATAATATGGTAACATATTACTTTTTATTAAGTATAACAGTATGGATAAAAACTTATAATCTAGCTCATACTTTGTCATCATGGTTGCAACTTGCAAATTCAACAGCTCTTACATCAGTACCATATAATCATTACTAAACAGCTAAAATTCAAGTATTTTTATATCAGTATTTTCATTAAAAAAAATGTTAAGAGTTTTAAATAGCATTGAAGGAAAATGAGATTAGTTATGCAACTTGTGGAGAAACGTCATGGAGTGATAAATTAAATTAAAATTAAGGCATAGATATTGGATAGAGCCATAACGTTCGGAGCAGCCATCGTCAGAGACGCCTTAACTTCTGGACGCTGATCAAAGCTGGCCATTTCACGTGGGCAAACTTAATTTATGTGCATAAACATATACACACACACACACACATCTATATAATTATATATATAATGTGGTTATTAATTAACAATATTAGTATTATTACTCCAAAAGTAAAGATCTAGCTTTCATTTCTCTACATGAACAAACAATATCTCAGCCTCAAATTGGGGAAAAAAAACAACTAATTTTGGGTTGTGATTAAAATGTGACTATTATTTATGCATGTCATAAATACTCTTCTACGTTTTAGTTACATAAAACAGGAAAAAAAAAATTAAAAGAAAAAAAAAGAACGGCCGATTTCAACGGGGAAACCACATCTGATGACGAAGAAACGACGGCGTATGAATATCGGAAAATTAGGGTGTTTTTTTTTCCTTCAAATTAGATGAAATGAAATGTGAATTACTTGGAGTACTCGTCGTTGTGGTTGTCAATGGCGTTTGGCGAGATTCTCGGCGATCTGAGCGAGGGACTGGAGGTTGCAGCACACGATTGTGTCGACGAAAGTGCACGTGTCATCGGTGGTGTTTCCCGGCGGGACGTCGACGACGTAGGACTCGACGACGACAGTGCCGGCGCCGGTGGGGGAGGGGTGGAGAGTGGTGACGGAGCGGTAGTTGGAGAGGCGGTGGTCGCCGCCGACGACGCTGAAGCTGATGACGTGGCGCTCGTCGTCGAGGATCTCGAGACGCTCGGTGCTGCTGTTGGCGGGGAGGCCGGAGATGACCTGGACCTCCCGGAGAGTGCCAACGTCGCCGTCGCCGACTATGACGTGGCAGCTCTTGACGAAGTGCTTGTAGGCCTGGGGGTTGTCGAATCGCCGGACGACCGACCAGACGGTGGAGACTGGGGCAGCGATTTCCTGGATCACGGCCGAGCACGACTGGTGGGGACTCACCTCGTGCGTGTGCACACGCGCCACCGCGTCGGGAAGTGGCGACGACGACCGCTTCCTCGTCTTCGCCTGGCTTTGCTGCATGTTGATTCGGTGGAACATCACTGACGACTTCGGCGGATTCGCTGGCATTCTTCTTCCTTTCCTCTTCTTCTTCGTTTATTTTTTTTTTGTAGTGTAAAATAAAATAATTTCTTTGATTTTGATTTTTTTTTTTTCTCAGAGTGAGAGAAAGTGAGAAGGTTTTTGAAGTAGGGGGTTAGGGCTGGTGTTGGTCACTTTCCAAGTTCTTGTTATTCCAAGAGGTGGGATTTATGCAGAGAGAAAGAAGAATTGGTTGGGGGCGAAAATGAGAAAGAAAATAATTATTGATTTTTTAAAAGAATAAAAGAAAGGAAAAGGAGAAGAGTTTAATGAAAGTTCTTGTGGGGGTGGTGATAAAAATAAGGGCCAACTTGGTCCGACAAAGTTTTTTATATATACCAAAAAAAAAAGCGCTTGGGCATTTAATTATGCTAGATTACAAGTTGACCACACTCCTCAATTTGCATAATTTTTTCGACTTCTTCGTCGTATCTACGGAGGGGTGAGTTTTCAAATTAAAATATATACAGGAAAACAAGGAAAAAAAAAAAAAAAAAACTATTGATTCTTGAACTAGAACAATTCTTCTTGGGTAATGTGCGAGGTGTCCAGATTCATCAATTACGATGGTGGGGGATTAAAATCTTTTTTTTTTTTTTTGTTGCGAAAGAAAGTGGTCATAAAAATCTAAAATCTAGTGTATTTGGTGTGGTTCTTACTTTGAAAATGTATAAATATTCACACGCAATTTTTTTAGTGATGTGGTATGTATAATCACTATTTTTTTTTTTTGGTGATTAAGCGAATATAATCACTTGTTTTTTTTAAGAAAAAAGCTATTTATATAATTACTTGTTGTAACTTTACTAGAAATAATATTATAAATCACTATATCAGAATGTGTGAAAAGAATATATAAGGGTGATTCTATTCACATTTCTTTTTTACTCTTCTCACTCACTTTTTAAATACTCACCTTACTTAATTTTAAAAGTATTAAATTTATTTTTTACACACTCTTATTATTTTAAGATTACCGACCCTAATTATTTTTATAAGATTATTAATTCTTAAATATTTTATTTTTATTTATGTGCCCACCATTTTATTTAATTTATTATTTTAAATTATCATTTCTTTATCTCTCTAATTGTTTTTTTAAGTTTTGAGCATGACGTCTTTTCTCACGCATAAAAAAATTTACTATTGCATTTAAAAAGACTAAAAGACATAAATATAAGCATAATAACAACAAAATTATTACATCCATTGAGGCATTGATTAAGAAAGACAAAAAAACGAATTTCAAAGTGTATAAACAGGAAGAAAAAAAAAACAGAGAGAGATAGAAACATAAAAAAAATGTTGTAAAAACAAAAGGTCAAAACGATTAGTAAAGGTCAAAATGTTCATCCTCTAGAAAACAAAATTGTTTTGTGGGAGAATGTAACGGATACCTAGACGAACGATAATGCGATACATGGCCTTAACTACTTCCCACCAAGCAACAACCCTCGACGTCTACAGCTCTAAAGAGCCCAAGCACAAAGTTCAACTTAAGGCGACGATTCCTTCTGGCGTTGACAGATTGAGCCGTCGAGCTAAAGGCACAAAGATCCCTCGACCACAGAATCAACCACCAAGAAGGACGACTGGGCTAAGCGTCGCTGGCGACGAGGGGAACGTCCTCTGGAGGACGTGGCAAGTTGCGTACAAAAGTGGAGGACGCCTGCAGTCATTAATTGCGAGCTCTTAAACCACCCCACAGGAGACATGATTATGTTACATGGACGCACAGAGCCGTAATAGAAGACTAATTGGCTGAGTGAACATTGCTGATTAGTGGGTTACGTCTGGGCCTAAAAAAGGGAAGCACTTGAGTGCTTCTGCCTACAAGGGAAACCCACCCAGCGAAGGAAGCCCAGTATAAAAGAAGGGAGACCCCCTACGAGGAGGGGGTTGAGATCCAAGAGGAGGAAAAAGAGAGTGAGAGATAACAATTGATGTAAATTGTAATCCGCTCAAAAAGGAATAAACAACCACAGTGGATGTAGCTCTAATTTTACAGAGTGAACCACTATAAAATTTCTTGTCTTCTTTATTTGTGCACATATCAAACTACACACACCATACACCTCAACCAATAAATTTTCACACATATTCAATACCGAGGCCGGTAATCCAAAGGGAAACTAAGAGGTAACCCGGCCGGTTTTTGTTGACGAAAAATCACAATCAACAATTGGCGACTCCACTGAGGACCGAAAGCATTCGACCCCCAACAACATAGTTAGCAAGCACGCCTCCAAGAGAGACGGACGAAACTGCCATCCATCCAGGGAGTAACGGGATGGAAGGAGATCTACGCCCGATCGGAGACGAAGCCCCACCCCCAGACGCACCACGGCCAGATCCTGCGCAGATGCAGGCCCAACTGACCACTCTAACTGAGCTGGTACGTGGATTGATGACCGTGGTTGAGCGCTTAGATGGAAGGAACTCCATGCCACCATTATAAGACGCCCCGAGGCCGCAGGGATCTGCCATGGCTGCAAACCCAAACCCTGGTGACCACCCACATATCCAAGAGGGAACCAGGGATAGCGAGAATCACCAGGGCCCTCCTAGGCCTCGGCCTTCCCAATCATCTGGCAGCCGTTTAAGGGCCGCCGGACTCCGAGCTCCCGAGGACCGGGTACCAAGAGGTCCAGGAAATCCCGAGGTACTATCCCAGAATCCAGAAGGAAACCAGCCAGAAGACTCGGGATCAGTACAGGCGGGCGGCCAGGCCAGGGGAGGACCCAACGCTCAGAGGGCAGAGGTGTCGAGAGTAGTTGGCTCGGCCATTTCAATAGAAGAAGGACGCGCCATCATGGAACGTATGGCCAGCCTGGAGCAAAAACTGATGGGGGATGTGGCAGGTCTAAAGAAGAATATAGGGTGAGTGGCTGAGGTGGTAAACATCGACATCACGCCCAGCCGCACACATGACCATCCATTTACCGAAGAAATAATGGCGCCCCCTCTCCCCGATAAATATAGGTCATCGTCGATCCTACCATATGATGGTCGAGAGGATCCCGATGACCATTTGGAGATGTACACAGGGCATATGCTCTTGCACGGGTATGCTGAGGAGATCATGTGCCGAGCCTTTTGGAACCATTTGACGGATTCTGCCCCAAGATGGTTCCGGATGCTGAGGCCAAACTCTATCTCAAGCTGGGATGAGTTGAAGGAAGCATTTTCTCTCCAATTCATAGGGGTTAAAAAGTACGTCCCCTCGAAGCAGAATCTGACGACAATATACCAAAAGCCAAACGAGTCATTAAGGGAATGGCTCGCGCGATATGGGGAAGCTGTCGCCGCCACAATGGATATAACAGACAGAGAGGCCTTGATGGGGGCGTTATCTAGCATGAAGAAGATTACCCCCTTTAAGAGAGAGCTGAACCGAAAACCCCCGTCCAGCTACAAGGAATTTCTTGCGCGAGTGCAAGGATACATTAATGCCGAGGAGGCAGACGCCAACGACCCCGAGCACATGTCCAACAAGAATAAAGGGACCGAGTAGGGGTCGACGCCAGCAAAGCAAGACGGGAAGAAGCACCGAGGTGGAGGAAGCGGAGACAAGCAGCCAGCTACAACGACGAGCGCTCCAGAAGCCAAGAAGCCCAGACAAAAGGATGCTCGTAAACCTCGGTTGTTCCAAATATACGATTCCTACCACGAGCTAACGGTAGGAGTCGAGGAGGTCTTCAATCAGGTCGGCCGCGGGAACTTGCTGCGCCGACCGGAACCGTTGATGTCAGACCCCAGCCGAAGGAACCAGAAGAAATTCTGTAGGTTCCACGGCGATGTCGGCCACCACACTAACGATTGCACCGACCTCAAGGATGAAATCGAAAGAGTAATCTGTGAGGGAAGGTTTCAAGAGTTCAGGGCCGAACGAAGACCTCAAAATGACGGCCACGGTGGGCAAAATGACGGTCGACGTCGATAGGAGAACCAGTGCCCAGAGGATCGTGAACCCGTCGGTGTCATACGAACTGTCCTCGGCGGCCCCTATATAGGAGGAGACTCAAGGAGGTCTTAGAAGGACTACGCCCACGAGACCAGGGGGTCTACCATGAGCGATTCTGGAGCGTTTCCGCTACAAAAGCCCCAAGGTACAGCCACACCGATGTGGCCTGTAACGAGGACGACGCCAGCGGAGTTCACTTCCCTCATAATGACGCATTTGTGGTGGAAGCCATGATAGGGAACCACACCGTGTGCCGAATCCTGGTAGACAATGGGAGCTCAGTGGACCTCCTATACTCCGACTGCTTGGAGAAAATGGGGATCCAAAAGGAACAGTTGGAACAGACCTCCAAGCCACTATATGGTTTCACCGGGGACTCCGTCATCCCCAGGGGACCATCCGGTTGCCTATAACCGCCGGAGAAAAACCCCGACAGGCTACTACAATAGCCAACTTTGTGGTTATAAAAAGAGGCTCCCAGTACAATGCCGTGATTGGAAGACCAACCCTTCAGGCGCTAAGGGCCATAACTTCCGTCCACCAACAAAAGGTCAAGTTCCCTACCCCAAATGGCGTGGGCGAGATAAAGAGCAACCAGTACGAAGCTAGGGTTGCATACTCCGATGCCCTGCGTGGATATGACCAACCGGGGAGACAGGAGGCTAGGATGGTTCATCAGAACCTCGTCGAGGATATAGACCCCAGGGTTCAAGAGGAGGTCACATGGTCTCAACCCATCGAGAAATTGGTGGAAATTCAAGTTGATGAAGGCGAGTCCACCAAAGTGCTGAAAATAGGCTCAGACTTATCCCCATCACTTAAGGTTGAGATCGAGAACTTCCTCAGGAAAAACTTAGATGTCTTCGTCTGGAATCACGCCGACATGGAAGGGATTGACGCTGAAGTTATCTGTCACTCCCTGAACGTCGACCCCTCATATCCTCCCAAACGCCAGAAGCGTCGACCGATGAACCCCGAGAGATATGAAGCGCTGAGAGAAGAGGTCGACAAGCTAATCAACAATGGCTTCATCAGGGAGGCCCGTTACCCACGTTGGGTATTAAACCCTGTTCTAGTAGTCAAGCCCAACGGGGACTAGAGAACATGCGTCGATTTCAGCGATCTCAACAAAGCCGACCCAAAGGACGGCTTTCCACTCCCACGGATAGACCAAATGGTCGACAGCACGGCGGGACATGAGATGCTGAGTTTTATGGACGCCTACTCCGGATACAACCAAATCCCCATGCATC